TGGAAAATTCATACATGGAAGCTCTAACCCCTAGTGTCTGAGAATGCAACTGTATTTGGAGACAGGGTTTCTAAAGAGGGAATCAAGTAAGGCCTTTTTCTTTGTTTGTTTAAAGATTTTATTTATTTATTCATGAGAGACGCAGAGAGAGAGGCAGAGACACAGGCTGAGGGAGAAGCAGGCTCCATGCAGGGAGCCCGACATGGGACTCGATCCTGGGACTCCAGGATCAGGCCCTGAGCCGAAGGCAGACAGATGCTCAACCACTGAGCCATCCAGGCGTCCCTAAGTAAGGCCTTTAGAGTGGGTCGTAATCCAATCTGATTGGCACCATTATAGATTAGGACACCGACACCAGGGTTGCACGTGCAGAGGAGAAACCATGTGACCAGGCAGCAAGAGGGCAGCCTTGCGCAGGCCAGGGAGAGAGGTCCCAGAAGAAACCAGTCCCACCAGCTGGATCTTGGGCTTCCAGTGTGAGAGAACAGTCGCTTGGTTTTCATTTTGGGTAAGCTCTACGCCCAACGTGGGGCTTGACCTCACGACCCCGAGATCAGGAATGGCACACTTTACTGAAGCAGGCCAGGTACCCTGAGGCTTGTTTGAGCACCCGCCTGTGGCATCGTGCTGTAAGAGGACTAAGCCACCCACCATTACAGCACAGGGGGCAAGAGTGTTCATGAGGTGGGGCCCAGGGAGCAAGGGCGGGGTGAGATGTCATGTAACCCGGAGCCAGCAGGTGAGCTGAGGGCAGCGGCTTTTGTGCACAGAGGCTTGGAGGTAGGACAGGGCCTGGGGGACCACTGAGCAGGCTTCAGAATGGACTTGAGGGTAGGCCGGGCTATACCTGCGCTCAGCCCTGGCCCTCACCCTGCTCGCTGTCCCTGACCCAGCTTTCGGGGTGGCCTTCCCCCACCCCCATGATAGCCATGTCGTGTCCCTCTCCTTCCATCCTCTACACTGGTTCCAGCCTGGACGCCCCTGATCCTGAGGCAGAGCCCCAAGAGTGAGACAGGAACACAGGGTTCTCCTTTATGCCTTACTTGCCGGGTGAGCCCCACCAGACAGCCCTGGCCTGGCCTCAGTTTCTCCTCTGTAAAATGAGCAAAGATCTTTCCAAGCTCCTTGACTCAGACTCTCCAGTCCTGGCCTCCCCGAAACCCCACTCCCTGTGGGTGACACGGGCTAGAGTTACCCAAGGGCAAGAATGTGTTGCCCTTGACAACCATTCTTTCCCTGACTTCTCTCCCTGAGGGACAAAGAGGAATGCTTCATTAGTCATCCTGGCCTCTCCCTCCTTGTCTTCAGCCCTGCTCCCTCTACTCCCCAGAGCAGGTGGCTCAAATTCCCCCTGAGGGTTCCATGGAACCCCCACGCTCAGCCTTGCCCTCTAATCCCTGTGACTGGAACCTGTCCTTGTCTGAACCTCAACTCCATGGGGCTGGGGCAGTGGGAGGGCCCCCAGGGCAGGAGGTGCCGTGGGGTGCAGGTGGGGGGATGGGCAGGAGGACTTGGGGGCAGAGAGTGCACTCAGGTCATCAGACATCTCCGAGTGCCTCTTCTGAGTGGGGTGCTCTGTGGGCAGAGCTGCTGGCCTCTCTGATGGCCTATTGGAGGGAAGAACGAGCAGAGAAAATGCCCACCTTTTACCCAGCCTCCACTTCACATGTAGAGCTTCGGCCGTGGCCCGTGCCCACAGTGGCCCTGGCACAGAATAGTCCCTCAATAAACAGTGTGGCAGCTGCACTGAACGTAGCAACTAAAATGGCCTTAGTCTTCTGACCTCCAGCTGCTCTGTGTCTGGCTGGGGAGATGTAGGCCCAGAACAGGACGGACTTGGCCCCGGGCTTAGGTGAATCAGGGATGAGCCAAGGTCACTTACCTCTTGGTCCCAAATTTGTGAGATTTCACTCAAAGGAGGCATTCCTCTGCAGATCTAGACTGCAGATCTGGGGCATCACTGTGCTGGGGAGGGTGAGGAAGGGACTTCCTGCCCCTGGAAGTGCCAGAGCTTCATCCTGGGCACCTCCACAGGACAGGGTGTGATGGTTGCCATGGAGCTGGTGCCTTGTTTGGTGACATGGAGCTGGGTGGGCCTTTAGCTGGCTGTTCTGTGTTTGGGGGCGGGTGGAAGCCCCACCTCATCCCATGAGTCACCCCAAAGGTACAAGGCAAGGTAGGTCCTTGGGAACAGACTATTCCCTAGGGCTTGGTATGCCCCCCTCCCCCGGGCATCCTGGGCTCACTCCTTTCACACTGGGACTCACTGGGCTGGGAACATCTGGACCAGGGAAGAGAGCTGGGCTCTACCCTGAAGCCACAACATGGTAGTTGTCAGCCCAATGATGTAAAACAAGATGGTACCCATGGGCCACCTGGCCAGATACACAGAGCAGAGAGGTGTTCATCTTAGCAGTCAAAATGAGGGGCACCTGGGCAGCTCAGAGGTTGAGTGTCTGCCTTTGGTTTAGCTCCTGATCCCGGGGTCCTGGAATCGAGTCCCACATCGGGCTCCCCACAAGCCCTCTGCCTGTGTCTATGCCTCTCTCTGTGTGTCTCTCATGAATAAAGAAAATTTTTTTAAAAAGTTACTGAGCACAATTATTGGGCCAGACCCTGGGCTCAGTGCTGGGGATGCAGTGGGGGTGTTCCTGATAATGGAGAAAAGAGGTATTCGTCAAATAATGATACGGCCAATTAATATAGTTGGGGGAAATCATTTATACTGTGGTCGAGAATGTAGCATAAAGTTGCTGTCTGAAATGGCCTGATACTGATGCCCAAATAGACAGATTGATCCAAGAAGTGAATCAGAACATCCAGAAGCTGACTAGAACTCACACACACACACGCACACGCAGACCAGGCGTGAATGTCTGTGAACTCCGAGGTGTAGGATACGTCAGACTTTGTTTTCTGAATCACAGCAACTCTGGTTCCTGGTGTCCATTCTCTCGGGCTGTCGGCCCAATATCGGTTGCTTCACACGGCTTCTCTCCTCTGCTGAGTTTGGCCAAGGTTCTGGTGAGGACTCAGGCTAGGAAGGTGGCTGTGGGAGGAGGTGGCATGTCTGGCCAGGAGTCTGCCCTGGTCCTTCTTGTCGCTGTCACCAATTCTGCCATAGTGGCACGGCTGGGAGCTGCTTACTCTGGTGATGTCCAGCTGTGCCCGAGCAGGCCGGCCCTCAGCTGCCCAGGCTCCTGTCCAGGAACGTGGGAGAGAGAGAATCCCCTGGCCTGGCTGAGCCTGTGCTTGTCTGCCGCCAGCTCCCTTGCTGTCACCTGCGGCAGCCCCAGGATGAATTCTGCAGGACAAGGAAGGACTCCTGCAGGCCTGCGAGTCTGGGAAGGAGCCCTCATACCTGTGCTTGGCAGGACAAACCGAGCCAGTGGTACCCCGAATGGGCTATGGACACCCTGAGGACATATGGGAGCTCGTCTCAGGTTAAAGAGGCCCTCTTGGTGGCCCTTTGGCTGACCCTCCCTGCACACAGATACCCACACTCACCCTGACCTCATTAGCCTGCCCTGAGCTTTCACTCTGGTATCGGCCCGAAGTTCCCTTGGGGCTGAATTGATCACCAATGGAAATACAGTGATTTCAAATCCTGAAAAATCTGAAACTATCTGTTAGCATGTCTGAGTAGAGTTAGTGTCACAAAAAAATCAACCAGGCAATTAATTACAGAGTTGATAGGAGAATCTCCCCCTTTGAAGTTCACTATAATATAAATAAGTACTATAAGTACTTTTGGGGATAAAAAAGTAGTGTATGTGGGCTGGCAATCAGATAGCATGTAAATGCATTATAATAACTAAAGAATATTCATAATTGTTTTTTAAAAATGTGTTTTAGGGATGCCTGGGTGCCATAATCGGTTAGGTGTCTGACCCTCGGTTTCAGCTTAGGTCGTGATCTTGGGATCATGAGATCGAGCCCAGCATTGGGTTCTGTGCTCAGGGTAGAGTCTGCTTGGGATTCTCTCTCCCTCTGCCCTTCCTGCTCATGCTCTCTTACTCTCAAATAAATAAATCCTCAAAAAAATTAAAATAAATGTTTTTTTAAAGTACTCCCCCAGGCAGCCCGGTGGCTCAGTGGCTCAGCACCCCCTTCAGCCTAGGGCGTGACCCTAGAGTCCCAGGATCGAGTCCCACATCGGGCTCCCTGCATGGAGCCTGCTTCTCCCTCTGCCTGTGTCTCTGCCTCTCTGTGTCTCTCATGAATAAATAAAATCTTAAAAAAAAAATAAAGTACTCCCCAAAGGAATTTGGGTTTTAGGAGGGAGGCTCTGCCCAGGTGCAGAGGCTGGGCTGAGGGGGGCTTGTGCTTGGGGCAGGGCTTGCCCCACAGGGGACTGTTGCTCCAATCCAGGTGAGAGATGGTTAGTACAGGCTCGGCACCCCCACCCCCTACTCCAGACCCCATCTAGGACCCTTCTGCTGAGGAAGAATTGCCCTGTCCTGGCAGTGGCCAGAGCCGGAAGAAGAAGAGGGGCCAGGTCACCTGGATAATGAAAGGAGAAAGGGCAATGTTGAGGAGCCCCCCTTCCAGAGTCCGGGCTGCAGGGAGTACCCCTAGGCTTGCCTTTGGCTGTGACCGTCCCATCCAGGCTCTGCCCTGGCTGGCCAGTGATCCTGGACAAGCCCCTTGAGAGCAACTTCCTCCAGTACAGGGGGCTGTGGAGAGCCATGGTGCCAGGTTGCCCTGTTGGCCAGAGTCACGGGGGCCACCTGGACCCCAAGCTCCAGCCTCCTTCCTCCACCCCTCCCTGGCCAAGCCCTCTTGGAGTCAGGGGTGGGAGGGTCCAGGCTTGTCCTGACGGGCAGCTACTGATTGTTCTCGTCAGACCCCTCCCTGGGATGCCACATCCATGGGGCCTGCAGATTCTGCCCTCAAACCTGTCCAACCAGTTGTTTGCGAAGAGGGGGGACCTGGGAGGAGCTGCAGGAGGTACCAGAAGCAGCCTCCTCCATCCAGATAGATAGTGGAGCCCCCTGGGACGCTGCAGACAGACTGACAGACAGACAGACACTCGGCCTGGCCATGGGGCTCAGTGGGGGTCAGTATGGGCTGCCAGTGCCACTGTTGCTGCTGCTGACCTGCCTCCAGCGGGGGACAGCCCTGGGTGAGTGAAGGGGAGCAGGGCACTCTGTCTCCAGCTTCAGGAGGACAGATCTACCTCCTCCAGCTGCCTCCCAAGCCCCAAGTCTGGGTGGGTCAGGGGAGGTGGCCCACCAAAGAGGTCACAAGAGATAGACACCTGTCCCCACAGCCCAAGACAGGAGAGTGAGTAACGCTCCTTCATTCTCTTTAGGGTCCTCATCCTCATGGGTCCTGAGCCCCCATCCTATTCTCACCAATGTCTCCCCACTGTCCCCTCCTTCCTGTCCCCAAGGAGAGGTTTAAAGATGTTGACAAGAACCATCCCTCCTTGAAGAAAGCTCTGGAAGCCCTCCAGGCATGGCTGCAGGCATTGGTTACTGTGGGCTCTTAAACTGGAGGTACTTAAGAGGTGCAGCCCCTCTCATCTGGGCTACTCTACTCCTTCTCCCTCATTAAGTGGACATTAAGTACCTGCTGTATGCAGTGTGCACCAGGCCTCAGAGACAGAAGTGGGGGCTCTGCGGAAGGAGAGGTGTAGCCCTGAACCTTTGGAGCTGAATGAAATGGAAATGAATCATACTGAACCCAACAGAGAGAGGGAAAGGATTCTGGAGACTGGCGGGGGAAAGCCACCTCCCCTTTCTGCTGCTGGGGAGGGTCCTCCTGTGCCTCCATGGCTTCCCCAGGCCCCGTGCAGGGCAGAGACCCTAGTGACTCAGGTGGGGCAGGATCTCCCTCTTGACCCCTGCTAGTAGACTAGCAAGGCAAGGGGCAGGGGCTGGACTCAGGCCCCCGCCTGTGACCCACGGGCACAGAGTTGCTAGGAGGCCTCCTGATTTGTGCCTGACCGCAGCTTCTAGAGAAAGCCTCCACTCCTCCCTCAGATCAGGGCTCCCGAATCAAGTCTGTGCCTCCCCCCTCAGGCTGGGGCTTCCAGAACCATGACTTCTCCCTCAGACCAGGCTGTGGGGGCTTGGCTGTCCTGCTGAGCCTCTTCCATCTGCCCCCCACCTGCTCCAGAGCACATCAGCTACGTGCCCCAGCTCTCAAACCGCAGCCTGGCAGGGACACTCACCCAGTCCACCTTCACACTGGAGCAGCCCAGGGGCCAGTTCAGTCACCGCAGCATCTCTGACTCTGATGCCATCTGGCTGGTGGTGGCCCACAGCAACGGTGGGTGCTGCGGGGGCGGGCTTCGGTTTCCCTCTGTGAACAGGGGCAGGAGGCCTGGGAGGAACAGCAAGCGTGGGGGAGGGTTGGCAGGTTTTGAGGGGCTGTGGTACAGGAAGGCCGTCTGGCCTGGCAGGAGGCGGGGGGGGGGGAGCCCTGCCCCTGCAGCCGTCACTGTCTGACCTGCAGTAACCCTCAGCCACCCAGAACTTCAGTGCCCCACAGAGGGTGGAGGACATCCCTGTCCCTGAAGACTTCACCCGGAGGGGCTACTACCTCACACTGATGGCCAACCGCTTGCTCTACCTGGGCAACCAGCCAGGCAACCAGCTCCGGGTCCTCCGCGTTGGCAATGATACCAGCTGCTCCCGCACCAAGAGGGGCTGCAACCACCCCCTGCCGGGCCCAGGCCCCTACCGGTGAGCTCCTGCCAGGGCTCAAACCCCGGCCTGGGGCAGCTCCCTGCTCAATGCTTGGCTTTCTATGGGCGGGAGCGGGGGGGGGGGGGGGGGGCGGGGGGCAGGGGCCAGGGCTGGGGAGGTCTCGGTGACTTCTCCCTTCTTTCTTGAGCAGAGGGTCCACCACTTGCACCTCTGCCCCCATGGGCCATCTGGACCCCACAGGAGATTTCCCCATCTAGGCAGGATGTGCCCCAGCCCATCTCCCCTTACTTGGGTCTTGATTCACTGATATTGGGTGCTGGGGATCTAGACCATTCCACACACATTTCCTAAGTGAGGACATTAAGGACCAGTGATGGTGAGGGATGCACCCAAGGCAACACAGCTGGGAAATGTCACAGCTGGAATTGAGGCCCCTTCTGGTGGGTTCTAAGGCTGGCTTTTAGGCCAGTCTGCACTTCTCTCCCCCACCCCTCCATCCCCCAGGCCCTGAAAGTCAGGGCCAGAGGCCTCACTCCCCATCCTGGGTCTTCTTCTCAGAGTGAAGTTCCTGGTGATGAGTGACAAGGGACCTGTAGCTGAGACAGAGTGGTCCAACGAGACCCACCTACAGCGAGGTAAGGGACTGGTAAAACACTGGGGCGGGGGGGTCTGGGGCCCGGGGGCTCCTGAGGAAGGGCTGGGCTGGGGAGATGGGGCCAGCCCCCCATCACAGGCACCATTACCACCCCGCTGCCTGCCGGTGCCCCTCCCCGAGCTGGGGAGAGGGATGGTCTGTCTGGAGGCCGTCCCAGGTCCCTCTTCTCAGGTCGGATCTCTCCTCCTTCCACTGCTCTGCCTGCCTGGGGAAACCCCCTCATGCCCCTCAGCTGAGAGGCTGCAGGCTGCCCCAGGCCCCCAAAGCACGGGCACCGTGGTCATCATTGCCATTTTGTCGGTCCTGCTGGCTGTCCTCCTCACTGCCCTCCTTGCTCTGCTTATCTACACCTGGTAAGTGGACAGGGTCTGGGCCCCCTGGGAGGGGTGGGGTCTCTGACCGGGACCACCTCTTATGCCCCCAGAAGACAGCAGGTCGTGCGAGTGTGTGTGCACAGGAAACCCTCCTCCTCTATCCCTCTGGGCCTGCCAATTGCTGTCAGGAGCTGTTGGGGGCAGGGCGAGTCTGCGCTCTCGGAGCGGGCCCCATGTGACCCCTGGCGGCAACCGCTGGACTTGCGAGTGGGGGCTGGCTCCAGATACTTCCGGTGGGGTACACCCAGATGCAAAAGTCAGGCAGATCTGCTGAGCAGGGATAGAGGAGAGTGGGGGTGCTGCACTGCTGGATCTGTGAAGTTTATATTTCTTAAAGATTTTATTCATTTATTCATGAGAGACACACAGAGAGAGGCAGAGACGCAGGCAGAGGGAGAAGCAGGCTCCATGCAGGGAGCCTGACATGGGACTCGATCCCGGGACTCCAGGATCATGCCCTGAGCTGAAGGCAGACGCTTAACTGCTGAGCCACCCAGGTGCCCCTGGATCTGTGAAGTTTAGAGGAAGACCCTGGATCTCTTTGGCTAAGCCAGCCTGGCCAGTTGAGCCTCAGTTTCCCCAATGCTCCTATGCCTAGAGCTCCAAGCTGTGGGCAGTAACTGTGGGGCTTGGATCAGGCCCTAAGTTCCTCTTCTCTCTCTTCCCCTGCAGCTATGACATCCATGGGAGCACTCCCATTTCGGGCCCCGAGCAGTCAGTGTGCGTGAGAAGATATGACACCCACCACATGATCAGCCCTCCAGCCGTGGGGGGCTCCTGAGAGGTTCTCACCTACCCCTCAGCCTTGTCCCTGGTCCAGGCTACAAATTCTGGACTGGGGGCATGCCCTGCAGCTGCTGGAGCCCTGGGAAGAGAGTGTTTCCAAGTGAGGGTAGGGAGAGGGTACCTTAGCCCAAAACTGGGCCTGTCCTTGTCAGAAATAAATGTCCCCAGCACCACCACCCCCTGCACATCTATGTTGTACTCCTGAGCAGTCAGTCTCTCTGAACCCCTGTCCCCAGCTTCCCTGCAGGGGGAAGGAGGCAGGTACTCAGGAGGATGTGAGTCCAGGGTCCCAGGCTGGCTGAGCCATCTGCATCCAGGTAAGCTTCTCATCTGGCCTCAGTGTCACTCTCTGGAAGATGGGGATGATTACACTGGCCTCACTGGGCCAAGTTTCCGCTAAACCAGTGAGGCAAATGTGTTCATCCTGTCCTGGCTACTCCATCCCCACAGCATCCTCCCTGTGGTCCCCTCCCCAGGTGGCCCACTCTATAGCCCCCCTCTGGCTGGAGGGCTTAGAGCCTCTGAGCTTCACACCCAGCTCTAAGCTGGCTCTGGGTGTTGGGGGATGGACGTGCATGTGATGCTATGGCTCAGCCCAGAGCTGACTCTAGCCCCAAACCTAGTCCAAGGCGTCTGGCATTTGTTATCATCAGCCCCACTCTGGGCCAGGCTCTGCGGGGCGAGAGATGACCCATGCGGAATCCTGCCCTCAAGCCACCCAGTGCTGTGGGGGAAGAGAAGGACACCAGCACTCAGGGAATAGAGGGAATGCAGGTCCCAGAGATCCAGATGAGGCTTCAGAAGAGGCTTTATGGGCAAATGCAGCCTTGGAGAAGGAGCAGCATTGCGCCAGGTGACACAGGAAAGGTGCACAGGTTGGGGGGAATAGCATACTCAAAGGCCTAGGAGCCACCAGGGGCCGGTGGATGGGCAGGTTTGGGGTGGTGAGAGGATAGGGTAAGGGATGGCAGGGAGGCATCCCTGCCTAAGGGAGAGGCAGCCTGTGCCACGTGCCCCTGGGGCAGGGGGTGGGGAAGGAGGGTGCTGGCTGGGTTCCCAGGTGCCTCTCTCTGGGAGGTGCAAATGGCCCTAATTGGTTTATGAGCCCACGCAGAGCATCCGGCTCCTGCTCTGGAGGAAATCCTCGGAGACCATGGGGGAGCCAGGCTGGGAGGGGCAGGGAGGGGCAGGGAGGGGCGGGGGGCAAACAAGCCTCTACCCTCTGCCTACATCAGCCTTGGTCTCTCCATAGCCTTTTTGGAGCAGCCATGAGCCCCAACCCTGGGGCTGGGTGACTCTGGACACATCACTTACCCTCTCTGGTCCTCTCTTTCCCTTTATGTAAAAAGTGAGGATTGAACTGGGCACAAGCCAACACCCTGTAGGGTCGGGCCTGGCAGGAAACAGATGGCACGCTGTCTGGCGGGGCAATTGAGAACGTTTACAAAGGTGTGGTCAGCATGCTAAGGGGGCCAACAGGAGGGGGCCCTGACCCAGGGCACTGATGGCCATAAGCCCTCCTATCTCTGCAGGGCTGGCAAGAGGGGGTGGTGTTTCCAGAGCCAGGGAGCAGGAGCCGTGGGTAAGGGTCGGCACAGCAGAAGTGGGGGGCGTGGGCGGGGAGGCTATGGATAGAAGGACAAAACCCCTAGAGGGAGTCAGGGAAATAAATACCCCTGCCTTTCTCCTGATTTCTGCTCTCACACCGTGTCTCCAGCAGACCCCATCTTACCAGAAGCAAGGGGGCAGGGGGCTCTGGGGGGACATGATCTGGGTGCCAGCCTCCTGGGACCAGAGCAGCACAGAGAAGGGCCAGGAATGGACTCAGGATTACTGTGATCTGTTTTACTCCCAGCTCTCCAGACACCAACTGGGTATGCTGGGATTTAATTCAATTCTGATGCTAGCTACCTGGAGTTAGGACAGACCTCACAGGTAAGGGCTCGGCCCCCTAAGACTGCTCCCCACTTCAGACACAGTAACAAGTACTGGGTGCCCGGGATACCCACACTTCTATCCAACCTCGGCTGTTACTCAGCGATTCCCATGACCCCATCCTCAGATTGGATGATTTTCTGGGACAGATCACAGAGCTCAGGGTAACAGCTTACTTACTATTACTAGAGTATTATAAACGCTATAAATCAAGAGCAGCAGCCTAGAAGAGATGCGCAGGGAGAGGTAGGGGGAGGGGGTGTACAACTGGCATCCCCCCTCCGGGTGCGCCACTCTCCCAGTGCACTCACCAGCCCAGAAGCTCTCCGAACCCCAGCGTCCAGAGTCTTTGTGAACATTCCCTCACGTAGGCATGATTGATGAAATCATCGTCTGTTGGTGATGGAACTCAACGCCCAGCCTCTCTGCCCTCCCAGAAGCCATTGGGGGTGGGGATGGGGCTGGAAGTTCCAACCTCCTAAGCACCTGGCTGGTTCCTCTGGGGGCCAGCCTGCCTCCTGAAGCCACCCGAGGCTCCACCAAGGATCGCCTCATTAGCTGGGACTCAGGTGTGGTCCAAGGCAGCTTGTTACAAAACAAAAGATGTTCAGGGCGCCTGGGTGGCTCAGTCAGTTGGGCGTCCAACTCGGGTCATAATCTCAGGGTCGTGGGATCAAGCCCGGTGACAGGCTCTGCGCTGGGCGTGGAACCTGCTTGAGCTTCTCTCTCTCCCTCTGCCCCTCCCCTCACCCTCACACTCTCACTCTAAAAAAAAAAGGGGGGGGATCTCTGGATGGCTCAGCGGTTTAGTGCCTGCCTTCCGCCCATGGCGTGGTCCTGGAGTCCTAGGATCGAGTCCCACATCAGGCTCCCTGCGTGGAGCCTGCTTCTCCCTCTGCCTATGTCTCTGCCTCTCTCTGTGTCTCTCATGAATAAATAAATAAAATCTTTTAAAAAAATAAATAAAAAATAAGAAATAATAAAAATAAAATTCTGAGTTTTTTTTTTTTTTTTTTTTTTTTTTATGATAGTCACACACACACAGAGAGAGAGAGAGAGAGGCAGAGACATAGGCAGACGGAGAAGCAGGCTCCATGCACCGGGAGCCCGATGTGGGATTCGATCCCGGGCCTCCAGGATCGCGCCCCGGGCCAAAGGCAGGCGCTAAACCGCTGCGCCACCCAGGGATCCCAAATTCTAAGAGTTAAAAAAAAAAAATTCTAAGAGTTTTAAGAGCTTTGTTTTCAGGAATCAGGAAAAAAGGTCAAATATGTATTTCTTATTTTTATTATTAATTAATTAATTTATTTGAGAAAGAGAGACAGAGATAGTGACTGAGAGAGCACAAGTGGGGAGGAGAGGGAGAAGAAGGCTCCCCACTGAGCAGGGAGCCCATTGTGGGACTCGATCCCAGGACCCTGGGATTATGACCCGAGCCGAATGCAGACACCCAACCGACTAAGCCCTCCTGGCGCCCCAAATATATATTTCTTATACCATGATATCATAGAGAGTCACAGGCCACCTTTGTGCCAATCCTGTAGAATCAGACCCTCCCCCATCTTTGTGCTCTAGACAGGTGGCCTTAAAGTCCTGTCTCAAACAGAGTGCTGCTTAAGGCCAGAGTAGGGGTGTGCAGAGGGGACTCGGCAGGAGCCCATCCCTGAGTCTTGGAGGACAGGAACCCTGGCTACCTCTGAATGGATATTCTAGAGGCCCACGGGTCCCCATACGACATCCATAGCCAAACCTAGAGCTGCCCCCGGACCCCCACCTCCTGGTTCCCTGGTCCTCCAAGCCCCAGGCCAAAGGCTAGAGAAGACTCTGATTAACCTCTTTCCTTAACGACAGGCCCCCACTGAGGACGTGCACTATTTTCTGTGACTGACACAGCCTGGCCACATTGTTTAAGCCACCTCCTTGGGACCTGCCCGGTGCTGAACTCCGGGCCCAAGTTCAGGGGCTGGTGGAGAGCCCAGCAGGGTGTGTGTGGGATTCTCCCCCTCGGGGGCTCCCATGGAGCCTCAGCCAGGCCCAGGCATGCTTTGCTGGCTCTTCTGGGTCCTGGGAGCCCGGAGGGGAAGGTCTGAACCAGGGTGGCCCCATAAAGCCACTGACCAGGATCTCCAGGAAGCAGAGAAGGAGCCTCAGCTTCGGAGCCGTGTCGTGGGACATGGCTGTTGGGGCCTTGGGAGGGTCCGTGCCCTGGCCCCAGCCTGACCCTTCTTGCTCTTTTCATCCGTGAAAAAGTTGGAAGAGGTGAACCATAGCTGGTGTCATTCCCCTCCCTGATCACACATGCACGCACTCACTCACCTCCACGCCCAGCAGCCATTGACTTCAGCCTTGCTGGCACAGAGGCATGGAGTCCTAGCCTAGCAGCGGCTCAACATGCAAAGAGATACAAGGGGACCCTCATGGGATGGAGGGGCACACACTGCCCGGAGGTGCCTGGAGCAGGGGCAGGTGGAGTGACACTGACCACTGAGCCACCCAGTGTGCCAGCTCTTGGGGTCACAGACCTGGGAAGCTAGACCTGGGAATAAGGACCTTGAGCCATGAAATGATGTCCAGTGGGTCCCATGCCACCTGCTATCAGCGCCTGGCTTTGAGTAGGGGCCTTTTTCTGCCCCTACAGGTGGCCCTCGACTGACAGGCCTGTCCCCCTCTTGCTTCTCCGCCTGTTTTTTGCCCTGTCTCTTGCCTCTATGTTTAATTATGACAAGCCATGAGAACTCTGTCTCACTTTCTGGGAAAAAGCTGTGTGAGCAGGCCCAGAGACGGTTATGACCGTCTCCCAGAAAACGGCAGGATAAAATCAGAAAGCTAGCTTCTGTTCTGGGTTTGGGCTCAGTACAGGAAAAGGATAAAAACAGAGCAGAGAGGAGAAGGGAAGGAGAGAATGTGTGTCAGTTATGGGGACTGTTCGCAGCCTGTTGCCCTAGCCCAGCCGGTCCAGAGAGCACCCCCCCTCCGAGCCCCCTCACCCACTGGCCCTGCTCCCAATGCCCTTTGCAGCCCCCAGCCTCCCTGTCTCCATGCCCTGGCCCCTATCGAGACCCCACTTGTCCTCTGCAGCAGGAAACCAGGTGGCCCACGTGCACTGTCACGGAAAATCAGGCGGCTCTGCCCCCTACTCCCTGCGAGTGTGCATTTGCACCCTGCTTTGGCGTGGGACCTAGAACTCTGCTGGGAAT